AGATGGGTTCGGTCCGGTTCGGTCCAGTTCACCCAAATAGGTACCTTTCCGAACCGGTAGCAATGGCAGCCTGGTCACACTCCCGAATGGGTACAGTCCCCTGGCCTGTCCCCACTCGCTCCCCCTGTGAGCCTGGTCTTCAATCGTTCTCTCTCTCTCACCCCGCCCATCCACACCATGCTTGCCCTGCCTGCCTACCTGGCCACCTCTCACTGACTTGCTGGCTTGCTGATTTGCCCTCCTTTGAGAGCCCTATATATACCGCAGTCACCATGTGGCCTGCTACCTTTACTGGCCTCGTGCACTGAACCGCCCAGCACCACAGATCTCTGGCTGCAGGACCCCAAGTTTGGTTGCCACCTGCGCTGAGCCAGGGACACCAAGCCACCATCGCAGCACATGTGAGCCACTCTCTTTCAGCTGAGCTTGGCACCTGGTATTGTCCCCCTTGCCGAGCTCCAATGAGTGCCCCTTGCCTTCCCAGAAATGGGGCAGCCCTGACCCGGAGGTGGGTGCACACCTGGCTGGCCGCTGGGCTTCTCTGCTGTCTTCCCGAAGAGACGCAGTTGGGCGATCAAGATCCCCACACTGCGCAGGTTCTACCCGGGCACTGCCCATATGGTGCAAGCAGGGGGGAGACGCGCCAGGCATATGATGCCGATGCCACTTGCACTCTGCTCAGCTTCCTGCTGCAGCTGGTACAGCAGGTCAAGGGCTGCCCACTGCTACCCAGCTACCACGAGTGCCTCTGTTGGGCCAGCACCCCTCAGCTGCTGGAAGCGGCTACGTGCAAGGACTGGAAGAGGTAAGAGGCCCCCTGTCCCAGGACGGGCTTGCTGCCTTGGCCAGCCCTAGGGGAGTCCCTGCACTGCCCTTCCCCAAGTGAGGGGATGCCCGAGGAAATGAGGTCCAGTTGCAGCCCTGCCAACTTCTGGCTGGCCTTCTTGGGCACATTGGAGCGGAGGCTAGGTGTCCCTCTACCTCTTGGATCTGATGGGTGCTTTGTATCACATATGCAGCCATAGAGACTGTTTGGCTGCCTGGGATTCCAGATGAACCCTGGGCTGGCATCCCTGTCTCTTTCCTCCAAGAACCATCTGGGGGCTGTGCCCTTCCCTCGCTGTCCACGCGGAGCCTCTGCCAGTCCCCTGGTCACCTCCCAAGGAGCTTGACCAAAGTTTCTCTCACTGAGGCACCAGGACTCTTGACGCCGGGATGGAGTCCTTCAGGCACTTAGCTTGGCCACTTAACTCCAGTCCCACCCTCCTCCTCAGCGAGTGGCATGCCCGGCAAAAGTTCAGCTGGGCTCCTCGAGAGATGGAGTTTGCAGGAGGCCGATCTAGGGGCTGGCTGGTTGTAGCACAAACGTTCATTCTCAGCTTTTTGATTCCTAGCTGCAATGGGCAGCAAACCTAGGTTCACCCCCCTGATCCAGCAACTGGAAAAGTGGGCAGAGAGAAATGCCAAGGTTCGTGTGGGTCGGAGGCGAGGGAAGGAATTCAAACTTCATCCTCCTGCTGTGGCACGGGGCTTTGGGCAAAGGTTGGAGGGAAGGGCCCTGGCTCCCTCACACTCCCTCCCTCCCTCCCTAGTGTAGTTTGATGCAGGCAGAAGCTCACATTGCCTTTTGTAAGGCCACTGTCGGTGAACCTGGGCACCGGTGAGGGCTGGCTTTTTGCCTAGCTTTATCCAGCTGTTGGGGAGGAATGGACTGGGGCCTGGGGAGAAAGTCATTCTCCCTCCCCCGACAGCTGGACAAAGCTATGCAAAAAGCCAGCCCTTGCCAGCACCCAGATTCACTGACAGTGGCCTTACAAAAGGCAATGTGAGCTTCTGCCTGCAATCAAGGTAGACTGAGGAGGGGTTAGCATGAGCAAGCACTGAGGAGACCACAGGAGGAGGGAAGCCAGGCAAAGGGAATGCTGTAGCACACACATTTTCCCTCAGCCTCCTTCTTTCAGAAGGCTCTGATCGGCTCTCCTCCAGCTTCTCCGCCTCTCCTCTCACCCCAGCCTGCCAGCAGGAGGTGAGTGGGTGAACTTTATTGTGTTCCATGCATTTCCCACCTGAACAGCATGCTGCATTTGCAATGGGGGAAGTGTTTGGGGAAGGCAGCGGGGTAATGGGTGGTGGTGGCAGAGGAGCTGCTTTCAAGCCATTGGTTTTTGCGGAGTGGAGAATCTCCCCTCCCCGCCCAATCATGCAGGCAGAGGCACGCTTCCCATTTTGGTAGCCCCATTGAGTTGGCCCCACCCACCCAGTCACATGACCATCAAGCCATGTCCACAAAACAAGCCACACCCACAGAACTGGTAGTAAAAATTTTTGAAACCCACCACTGCAGAGTACCTGTTGGATTCACTGGCAATAAAAGTTGGGGTTCTGTCAACTTGATCTTCTGTATCTGCTATATACTGCTTAATGGGTGCTTTGGTCTGATCATATCCCATGCTGAGTAGAAAACATGGAGAGAAGCCCAATGATGAGATTTTAATTTTGCAATTTGCCTACCGAGTAAATAGACTAGTAGAAGATGCTGTTAATATGGCACTGCACTAAATCTTACAGCATCCTGAATCTACAAGGAGCTATGCAAGGGTCCTTTTTGTAGACTTCAGCTTCTTCTCACTAAACTGATTCAGCTCTGTGTCTGACTACACTTGTAAGTGGATCTGTTGTGGCCCAACAGCGGCCGGCTGAGCTGTTGCTGGAATCTGACAGTGATGAACACTATGGGACTTCCCTGGAGGCTGAGGAAAACTCTGGGGGGGGGTGTGTTCGGAGTCTGAGTAGGGACTAGAGAGGCCTATTGGCCACCAGATGGCATCTGAGTCAGGGAGCAATGCGGAAGAACAGAAGGAGGGTGTCCCTGATGTACATATGCGTAGGGCTGAGAGGAGGAGGAGGGAGCAGCTTTGGAAAAAGTCTAACAGAAGGAAATAGGAACAGGTGGCTACTGATTGGCCCCACCCGGAGAGCTTATAGGTGGGGCAACGGGAGGGGAATTTTGCAGGAAACAATAGTTTACTAATTCAGACGTAGTGAAAGATTGGGAGAATTTCATGAGTTCAAGCCTTGTTTTCATAGAGATAATTTTCTGGGGTCCTAGCCAAGGGGTTGTTTATCTCCTTCCTTAGTTGTGGCAGACAGCCAAGTCTGCATCAGTATATATTAGAGGCTTGGGACAGAACAGGATCATAAGCTACCTAACAGATAGGAAGCAGCAGGCGAAATCACATCAGATACCTGTACAATTAGCATAGGTGCCTTGCAGGTCTGTGTGCCCTCCCCATTACTCTATTCTCTGTACCAGGGCTGTCAAACTCCCTCCCCATGGGCAAGATGCGTGATGTGTTGGCCACGGCCACGCCCAGTTTTGCAAAGGGGGGAAAGTCCTGATACATCACGTGACACCGCCGTGACAACTGTTTGATACCCCTGCTCTATACCAAAGACTGCATCCCAAAAGAGCCCTCTGTTAAAGTATTGAAGTTTGCAGATGATACCACAGCGATCTCATTCGAGATGACGAATCTGCATAGAGACAGGAAGTCTGCCAAGGCGGCTTCTAGTTGGGGCATACATTTTCACCAGTATCACAGTACTGAGAACTTTTGGAGCAGTACATTTATCATTTACCTCTTTGCTTTCCCCTATTCCAGGTAAATCCTGAATTGATTCACTTCTTTGAAGATAAAGGCTTGAAGTTTGTTGGACATGACACAGAAGGAAAGAGAATGGAGATCATTGAACTGGATGGTAAAGACTTTGGCTTCTGGCAACACCTTGCATATGAAAGATGATGTGCAATTAATGTTACTGTAAATACATGGAGAAATTGAGAATCTATAAGAGTCAATGCTAACATTTGTTAGATCTTGAAATTTTAGAGATGCTATTGGTTGCCACATTAAAAATAGAACTATTAAGGAGACCTAGCATGAGCTTTCTGTGAAAATAAAGATGTACATTTATCTAACTACACTGTGTGCACAATTATTAGGCAAGCTATAGTTTGGAGGATTATTTTTGTTATTGAACAAGTAGAGTGCTCTTGGTGAATCCAAAATGTTAATAAACCTCAAACCTGAATATTTAAGAAAGTAAAAGTGAGTTTATGGCTTTCTTAGGAGAATATCTATGTGTGCACAATTATTGGGCCACTATTAGTGTGCAGAATTATTATGCAGCTAAATGGGAAATGAAAATTTTCCCATCTCAGTCATTTGTTGCAGATGTTAAGAATAATAAACAACTCAAAATGCACAAATAAACATTTCTGACAGTTCAAAAAAAAATCAGTGATCAATATAGCTACCTTTCTTTTCAATAATAGTCATAAGTCTTCCATTCATGGAGTCTGTCAGTTTCTTGATCAGTTGACAATCAACTTTTTGTGCAGCAACAACCACAGCTTCCCAGACACTGTTCAGAGAGGTGTACTGTTTTCCTTCACCATAAATCTTCCATTTAAGAAGAGCCCACAATTTCTCAATAGGGTTTAGATCAGGTGAGGAAGGGGGCCGTGTCATTATTCTTTCATCTTTAAGGCTCTTACTGGCTAGCCACACAGTGGAGTAGTTCGATGCATGTGATGGATCATTGTCCTGCATAAAATCATTGTCTTCTTAAAAGATGGAGACTTTTTCCTGTACCACTGTTTGAAGAAAGTGTCTTCTAAAAACAGGCAGTAGGTTTGGGAGTTAATCTTGAGTCATCATCTTCAACCTGAAAAGATCCAACTACCTCATCTTCAATAATACTAGCTCACACCAGTATCCCACCTCCAACTTGCTGGCATCTGAGTCGAAGTGGAGCTCTGTGCCCTTTACTGAACCAGCCATGGGCCCATTCATCTGGTCTTTCAAGAGTCACTCTCATCTCATTAGTCCATAAAACCTTTGAAAAATCTGTCTTCAGATATTTATTGGCCCAGTCTTGTTATTTCAACATGTGTCTTGTTCAATGGTGATAGGAGTTCAGCCTTCCTTAACAATAGCAATAGCACTTAGACTTATATATTGCTTCACAATGCTTTACAGCCCTCTCTAAGCAGTTTACAGAGTCAGCATATTGCCCACAACAATCTGGGTCCTCATTTTACTGACCTCGGAAGGTTGGAAGGCTGAGTCAACCTTGAGGTTGGTGAGATTTGATCTGCAAAACTGCTGGCAGCCAGTGATCAGCAGAAGTAGCCTGCAATACTGCACTCTAACCACTGCACCATCGTGGCTCTGTACTTTGGCCATGTTTCTGAGCACTAAACACCTTGTACTTCTGGGCACTCAAGGTAGTTTGCAGTTCTGAAATATGACAGTATTGGAGGATAGTGGGTTCCTGTTACCCTCATGTTTGACTCTTCCCAAATCTTTGGCAGTTAAGGTGTGTCTTTTTTTCTAAACATGTTTCTTGCAACCCTGTTGACTATTTGCAGCAAAATGGTTCTGTGATCACACCCCAATATCTTAGCAATTTCAAGAGGGCTGCATCCTTCTGAAAGACATTTTACAATTTTTGTCTTTTCAGAGTCCATTAAATCTCTTTTTAGCCGATTTTGCCTGAGGAACAGAAGTAGTCTAATAATTATGTATACCTTGATATAAGGTGTTAATCTCCTTAGGCCACACCCTCCCTCATTAACAAATACGCATCACCTCATCTGCTTATACCCTCTAAACATTCAAGTTTATAGCTTGGAGGTGGAAAATATGCATTCAAAGGATGATATGGTCAAAATACTGGACTAATAATTGTGCACACGGTGTATGAAAATATGTACTATAAAATTTGGCACAAAAAGCTATTTATCCCTAAATTTATGCTAGTGATCATCCTGGTCATTATGTTGTAGACTTCTGAGGTATAACTGAGTCCAAACTGATCTTTTAATATGTATCCAGTGCTTGAATGCTTAAGTGAAGAAAACCACACTTTTTTCAGTAATTGATGTCCTTGTGAAATTATTAATCACTTAATATTAGTGATTCCTAACATTCACTATGGAAACAACAATTCTACTTTTCTACTGTTCACATATGCAGGTACAGGTACATAATATACAGTATGTACTTTGCAGGCTTCCCAAACCCTTTGCAAGTAAACGGGATGTGCGGGATGGGGTTTTGGGAGGTCAAAAATACTGTATTCAGTGTATAAGATGCACCCAGATTTTTACCTTTTTTGGAGTGGGATGTGGGGAAGAAGTGTGTCTTATACTCTGAAAAATACGGTAATAAAATAATGGATAACTTTTTCAAATGCTTTTTGAGGTGTATTACTTCATCAATATTCCCACAATTTGATAAGGTAATTACAGTTTCAGAAAATGATATGAGATACTATGACAAGTTTAAATCTCCAGGAGCAGAAGGATTGTCTTTCTAAGCTATTTGCTGTATTTGTCATCATTGATAAATTATGAAGATTTGTGAAGTTCCAGATGACTGCAGCAGATGTTCTTATTTTCAAAAAACCTTTTAAAAAATGGACAAACTGTGTAGCGATGTTGAAATTGATATCTGGATGATTCTAGATTATGTTATAAAGCAGGTGGTTTTTAAACATCTTAAAAACAATCTAGGAATTTATTTTATTATTATTTTTTAATAAAATAAGAATGGTTAGAAATAAGCATAGAGCAGCAAAATGAACTGGAAGACCATTTCTGCTTGAATGTTAGGAAGGGCATAAAGTAGTAAGAACAGTTTACAGGATATCAAATTATATCCTGATAGGTAATGAACTCTTTTCGGTGGATATATTCAAGTAGAATCTGGACAGCTCTGTCAAACAGACATACTGTAGATTCCTGGTTTATTAGTTCTATCTATCTTGATATCTATTGGGAACTATTAACTCAAACCATTTATTTTATAATGGCTAATGCACAGGAGTGCTACATTTTCTTTTGTATTACTGGGAAACGGTTAAAAAATGGTCTTTCCCATCAAACTGAAACATTTAGAGACTGAATATAGTAGAATGGGAGCTGACAATCTAGGACTGGTAGTCATCAAATGCACTTTTAAGAGGCTTCTCTGCCATCTCTCGATAGAAAAGCCATGATAATAATTAAGAATGCCAAAATCATATATGAGATTCTGTATTGAACTAAACATTGCTATCCAATTAAGAATAGCTACCGTTCTCGGACATCAGCATAAACTGTAAAAAGTTCAGCCTAACTTCCACCCAATGGAAAATAAGAATCATTGCCTTTACAGATAGTCCTCAGCTTACAAGCATGACCATTCAAAGTTATGAAGGTGCTGATTGGTCCCCTCACTTACAACTGTCGCAGTGTCCCCACAGTCACAAGATCAAAATTAGGGCACTTGACAACTGGCATATATTTACAAAGGTTGTAGCATCTCAAAATCTTGTGATCTTTATTTGCGACCTTGCCAGGGGGCTTCCAGCAAGCAAAGTCAATGAGGGAAGCCAGATTCGCTTAATGACAGTATAATTTGCTTAATGACAATAGTGATTCATTTAATGACTGTGAGAAAAGAGTCCTAAAATCAAGCAGAATTTAATTAACAACATTGACTAGCAATAGAAGTTCCAGTCTCAATTGTGATCATAAGTCGAGAAATACCTGAATATAGCAAGATACAGATTTTCTTACTTATGTTACCAAATAGCACAATCTATATACATTTATATAAAAATCAGAATTGAATTATTTATTAATAATTATTCATGGTTTTATCATTATCAATAGTTTAATAATTAAAATTATTATCAATTTATGTTAAAGAGTTTTAATTTTTACAGTATGTTACTAGCTTCTTGTCTGTATTATGTGCCTTTAGATCACCCATATTTCATTGGTGTTCAGTTCCATCCTGAGTTCTCTTCCAGACCTATGAAGCCTTCACCTGCCTACCTTGGCCTATTACTTGCTGCAACAGGATCACTTAGCACATACTTGCAACACGGATGTAAATTGTCTCCTAGGTAATCATGGTTTCTGCTTGAATGATTGTCTTCTCCTTCTCTCCTCCTCTTCTTTTTCCTTTATGAAATGCTTGGAAAAAATAACTAATAATGATCCATGTTGTTTGTTTATACATTAGAAAAATATTGATAGTTTTTGCTAAAAATACTGGAAAATTAGGATGGTTAGGCATTAGAAAATTCTATGGATGCAAAGACTCTGCATTGCAAACACTTATTCCTTTATATGGATGGGAGAAAAAAAGAATAGATACAAATGATATAAATATAGATGATATATAGGTGATTTATATTCTTGGCCAGGAAGTAGTCAATTAAACTGAATAAGTGAATGAATCCTAAGAATAGTTAATTGATAGATGATTACTGTTTACAACTATGCAAGTAGTGTTTAAAATGTTGGACAAGGAACTCAGAGAATTGTTTTCAAGTTTATACTCAATCATATAAGTCACTGATTGATCCCAACTACTTCACAGTTTTTTTGTTGGAAAAATGCTATGCATGTTGCCTTGAGCTCTTAAAAGAAAAATGAGATCTAAACTGAATAAATCTTTTTCATACAGTTACATATTTTAAACACTGTGTTTAAAAAAGAGTATTACAAGGGTGCATCCATTCCTAATTTGCAGGAGTAGATGTCAGGTAAAAATATTCTAAATGCTCTTTTTTAATAGAAATGTAAGGAAGAAGGCTTTCTAGCAATCTAATTCCATTTAAATGATTTGCATGCTGACTGCATCTTTTAAAACAATTTTTCTTTTTTCTTCTTTTCATTTTTGTTTCCCATATATTGGAATTGTACTTATTTAGTAATTCAGATTAAATTGAGAAGACAGTTTAAATCACATTGTGATTTAATAGTTATAACATATTGGAAGTTTATATTTATATTAAGCTTTCTTCATATTTTTGTAAGGTTAATAAAAAAACACACACAATACATGGTACCAGTAAACGTCAGTATCCCACAGGTGCAATTGATATCAAGGTAGCATTGCCTAATATTTGTTATCATACAAGCATGTCTGCTCTTTTGACTTGTGGAATATTTGACATGCTGAAAACACTTTTATCAGCAATCTTACAAAATAATTGCTGGTCAATGAAACATTTTTTTTTCATTGAAAAGCTTAGGAGGATTATTTATAAAAAAAAAGGAATCTTCAAGAAGAAAGCTAAATGCTTAGAAAAAGAAAAACTCTTATAGAGTAAGCTTCATTTTACAGCTCTCCAAAATCATAACAAAATACTTATTTGAAAGAAAGAAAGCCAGCGCTATTCCAAGAAATGAACATGTACATAACCTATAACAGAAGCAGAACATCTTTCTCTATTACCAAAGGTAACTCGGGCAAAAATTGTGCTCCTGATGAAAACTAAAATTCAAATTCAAACCTTTATTGTCAGAGTACACCATGTATACAATGAGATTGGCTGAGCCTCCCTTCGTGCTCCCCCCCAACACAATACAACTCACAGTGAAATCCCTAGCCCAGACACTCCTACTAACAAACACCCAGTCCTGTTGCACCATGTGAACCTATTGCATGTGCAAGCCCCAGAAGTCAACCATACTATATTTTTGTAGAGGTATGTTTCATTTTGTGCCTTACTCCACTTGGTGCAGTGGGCTCAAGACAGGGGTGGGTTGCTGTCAGCATTAGTGCTGGTTCGGTGCACACAAAAAAATGCACATGCACAAAACATTAAAAAATGAAAAAAATTACATTTCTGCAAAGAAACTTGTTCTATGCATGCGCAGAGCCAAAAATCAAGATGGAGCTGCCGTAAGAGAACCGGTTCAAGGGTGTGGCAGGCATGGGTTGCAGGCTAGCAGGGGAAGCCAGCTAGCGGAGGGGCAATGCAGGCAGCACAGCCTTGTGCTCGCTGGCCGCTGACAGCCATGGCAGGCAACACCTAGCAGCTGTGGTGAGTCCAGGTGAGGGACAAGATGTGGGCTGGGGGAATGAGCAGCAGAGGCTCACCTTCCTTGCTGCCACCAACGACGTGAGAAGGAAAAGTCCAGGCAGGGATCAGGGGGCGCAGCCAGCCAAGAAAGCCAAACCACTGCCTAGCCCAGAGCAAGGCCAAAAAGGCAGCTGAGTCTTGCCATGTCCACTCACACAGGCAGATGGCCCTTTGGCCTAGCATGGCGGGCCCAGAGCGCATTTTCCTCCCCTGCCATTGGCCTTATTTTCCAACTGTACCCAATGGGGCTCGCACCACTCTGCTCATTCCGGCTGCCTGCAAAAGTAAGGCCTGCACTAGGCCGGGGGCTGGAGGGTGGGCGGGATGATGTGGGCAGGACAGCTTGTGGTCCCACATGAGCCAGATGAATTGCTTTGGCAGGCCATATCTGGTCCATGGGCCATAGTTTGAGGACCCCTGCTTTAAAGAATCAGACTTGAAAATAAAAGAACTAAGGAATAGACATTTGAAGACAAAACTGCAAATAAAAGGTTATTGCAAGAATCTAAATTTTCTTTATTGTAATTGCTTTATGAAGCACAAAAAGTCTTTATATCTGCAGCATCTAATGCTTTCTCTCTTACATATTATATTTTTCATAGTATAAGACACACCTTTTTCTCTCAAAAAAGAGGCTGAAAATCTGGGTGTGTCTTATACTAAGGTGATCAGACATCCCGATTTTGGCGGGACAGTCACGATTTTTAATAATTTGTCCCGTGTCCCGCGGCGTGTTCAAAAAGTCCCAATTTTCCAAAAGAAAGAAAAGACGCTGAATCATCAATTTTAAAAAGGACACCGTTAAAAAAAAGTTTTTATTTTTCTGAGGTGTCATTCCTGATGTGGCCTTTAGAGGGCAGTGGTTTCCCCCTCTCTGCTCCCTCCCCTCCTGCATGTGCGCGCGCCGATGTGTGATGTTTTTCTGCAGGGAGAGCGATGGGCGCTGGGTGAGCCGAGGGGAGGCAGGCGGGGATCCAGTTGGGAGAGGGTGGCGATGGGGGTGGCTTTTGAAAGGGTTGAGGGGCATTGGGGGAAGGCAATTGGGGGAAGGCTGCTTTGCAGCTGCCAGCGAAGTCCCCTCCCCCCCCGCTCTTGCCTTTCCTTCTGCTTGCTCCATCCCAGCGGAGGCTGACTCTGCCTCTTATTTGGACCTCCTGCATCCACCCCAAATGGAGCACCCCATTTCAAGCAACGAGGGGTGCCAAGCAGGGCAGGGTTGCAAACACCCCCCTCCCCCCAAGGCTGTAGGCGAAAGCTGCTCTCCAGTTTCCCGTCCCTGCTCTGCCTTCCCGAAGCATCTCTGTGGAGGTCCTTTTTGGCTTTAACGTGAAGCCTTGACTCTGCCCCTGAATCAGGAACACTGGAGAAGCGGGCGCGGGTCGCTGGCTTT